CTTCTAATATACTTCTAATATACTTCTAGTTCTAGTATACCACCTACTGTTCTTTTACATTTCAGCTTCCTGTTACAGACAGCATGTGAAATTCCACCCAGCTTGCTTCACAGAGTCACAGTCGTGGTTAAGACCAAATTTAGCAGGGCCAAGTGCCAGTGGTTTTTTATTTTTTTTTATTGGGGCACCACATGAAAAAAAAATAAAATAAAAGAAAGCTATGGCTCATTGTTTTAAATTTCAAGGAAATCAAAAACCATCTGCAGCTTTGGAAACAGAAATAGCTGATAAAAACCGTGACCATGCCTCAATATGATCAAAGTTTCGCAACACCAGCCGTTAAGTACCTCCTAAACACCCCTCTGCATAGGGATAACATTAAAAATCCCTTGCTCCTATTACATCTTTGTGTTTAATCTGAACTTAGTGTAGTAAGTATTATGGTTATTTGTGTAATACAATATCTCAACACATTAACAAGGGAAATATACACTTAAACATTAAATTATCCTTAGATCTCGAGCTACTGTTTAAAATTTCGATTTTTTTAACCGAGTGTCATGGTTGGTTTAGGAAATAAACCTACATGCAGAACACCACTGGAGACTGGGTAAAAGTTCAACAGAGTTTATTAAAGATTTGAACAAGAAAATATGAACTGGATTCTGGAAACAGGTCCGGGCAGGATTCTCAGGCGTCTGCAGAGACGGATAGTTTGATTAGCCAGGTTTACTGATTAGTAGTTGAGTTAGCTGATATTTCTGAAAATACCTTGACAAGATTCAGGCTTTCTTCTCTGAGAGAGGGAACCGGTTGGGTCCAGAGACTATGGTTCAGCAGAGTGCTCAACAGCTGCAGCGTCTTGCTTCTGATTGTTAGTGTCAGACCTTGGGTTGAGTAATGGCTCTTTCCCAGAGAGCAGCAGGTGGATTCCAAAGTGAGATCTTCAGGTTTGGCTCTCTAGGACAGGCAGGCAGGTAACAGGCTAAGCTCATCCAGAGCTTCACACGAGAGAGAGGTTTCCTAGGAGCGAGAAGACAGAGGCAGGTTAGAGTTGGGTTTCTCTAAGGCAAAGGTTCTAGTAGTATCAGAGGCTCAGGTTCGCTAACCAAACTTGGTCAACACTGTGGCGTTGAAGGAAGGTCTGGCAGCTGCTTATATAGGCAGGTCTCCTGATTGGCTGATGAGCGTCAGCTGTGCAGGAGGGCTCCAGCCCAGGAGATCCACAGCGCACTCTGCTGGAGAAGGTGGAGAATCTCCAGATCCCAACACCGAGGAACAGAAGTTAACACCTTGTTCTTCCCAACATCTGTTCTTGTCCATATACTTACTTACTTACTTGTAGCAACAGTAAGGTAAGAGGAAAAAAAAT